ATTTGATTGTTGCGATCTTCCCCTCCCCAATTGAAATTTGTTTGTTCATATATGGTATGTATACAATGACTCCGAGTTGATTTAGGGTTCTTCATCCTATGAAGACATTGTAAGATGTGTCTGCCTCAATCAGTTTATTTCTTACCAATATACTCTTACATTTTCTTCAAACACCAAAGCTGATCAAAAAATTTGTGTACTAATGAGTGTGAACTTGTTCTCCTACAAATCCTACCAAAAGATTCAGTTAGGATTGAATCAAATAATGTGATGTCTCCAATTTTTGGAAGGTTGACCAATATAGTATGTTCAACGAGCTTCTTTGATCAATCAATGTCTTTTTTTATCCCTCCCTTCCCCCTCCCTCCCCCCCAATTAACAATGAAAACAATGATAACCATAAGATCATCCTACTTGGGATCGTGCAAGTTGAAGTCTTCGTCAATGAAGGTTATTGAGAATAATTTTCTCGAATTGAGTGACCAAGATATGTTGACATTATTGATAGTCCTTAAATGTCGCTTGCAGACTGAACTCGTTCTTCCACCCTTTACAAGTCCACTTCCAATATTGTTAATCACACCTTTACTTGTCCTTTATTATTTGGAGCATTTTGAGGATGGTCAATTATTGGTTGACTATTGGCCTGAGGACGTCCTCTTCCTCAGATACCAAAATGTCCATGACCTTGACCGTGGAAAACTCCTTGGAATTACTCTTGTCTATATGTTCATGCTTGTTTGTAGTCCTAAATAAGTAGGTCCATGGACCTTGCTTGAATAAGATCTTCTATAAGTTATTGTAGTTTTCTACAATTTTCAGTTGTATGTTCGTAGTTCTGATGTCATGCGCATTGTTTAAGTCGGTCTATATCAAGGGGTGTGGTTGTTGATTCTGGTAACTTGAAGTTCTAGATTGCATGCTTATCAAAGGACTGTCTTAACACTCACCTTTAAGGGCGTGAACTTTCTTTCTTCACTTTTATCATCTCGCACAAAATCTTTTATTTGAATCATATCTATGAGATGACCCTTTTCTTTCTTGGTTTCTTTTCTTTTTTATTTCAATATTTTTCTCCAGTTGTATAAATCTAGAGTCTTGAGAGCCAAGTTCTTTTAGTGAATTTGGATAATCCATGTATAGGCTATCCATAAATGGTCCTCCTCTTAATCTTGTTAACATAGAGTGAATGATTATATCAACAACAAGATTTTGTATAGTGAGACTCACCTCGGTGAATTATTTTATAAATTTTTTCGGAGACTCATTTCGCTCTTGTATCAATCCTTTGAGGGTGAGATAGGTTGGTCGATATGGCCTAGTGGTTGCTCGAAATTTCTCTATCTAACTCTCAAATGATTTTATCAAACCACTAGGTAAGTCATAAAACCAATTAAGGGTTGCTTCCTTCAGTGTCATAAGAAAAATTATACATAATAGACCATCACTCCCACTCAATATACTAATTTGTGTTAGGTAAGATTGAATATGCTTGTTTGGATCCTTTCCTCCTCCAAACCATTCCTAGTAGGAGCCTTCGACCCTTGTTGGTAATGATTCTCCCATAATATTAAGAGTGAAAGGGATTTTGAGCTTCAACTTAGATTGTCCTTGAATATTGTAAAAATTGAACTTTTTTACACTTTGGTTAGGTTTTGAGCAAACCATTTTTTTGTGAAATTTGCCCTTAGTTTAAGCTTCTTGTGATAGGTGTCATGATGGGAAGTGCTACCTTGTGGGTTATAATATCTTGAAAGAGATCTTGTCAAATAACGTAGTTATCTTTTTACTTCCTCATTTTTCACGGAAAGGCTTCCATCTCTTTCTTCCGCTTTCTTTCAATCTTTTTAAGTTTTTGCATGGATATTTGCCTCATTCTTTTAATGCAACTCTTTCATTTGAGATTTCGAACTATTGATGATGACATCTACCTCCATGCTTTATTAAGTCAACTTCTAATTAATTGAATGTGACTTGGGATATGTTTATTGAGCCTGTCAATGAGTACCAAATATTTTTTTTCAAGAAGTTATAACCATAAATAGCCTTTAATAATATTGATTTGAATATGTTTAAAATTTACTTACTCAACTTTATTGAATGATAGAAAGAATGTGAGGTATATTTCGTGACACTCTAATATTTCAGTCAGTATGAAAATATAGACATTAAGATAAAAAATAAAGAATATAAATTAATATATCAATAAAAAAAATCGAACAATCTTATTTGTAGGACTCTTACAAAAGAATTTAAGTCGTCATTTATATTTGTTTAATATTAATTATTATCTTATTAATAGAATATATTATATAATTGAGTAATTAGATATATTAATTATATATTATTATCATAATGTGCATTTAAAAGAATTAATTTAAATAATATTTTTATTAAAGATAATAAATAAAAAATTACGTTAATTACAAATTGAATTAATCAAAACAATCCAAAGTTGGTTATAGAATGCTCTTATACAATTTATGTACATGCTATTCTATTAAATACTCTATAAATCATATTTAGATAATTTGAAAATGAAAAAAAAAGTTATAGATGAAGAAGATTTAAGGAGAAAATCACGCGTAAAATTTTATTGCGTTAAAAGTGGTTATATATATATAACCATTTTTCTCTTTAACTTAATTTTTTCAGCTCTTGCTGATTCATGCTAATTTTGCCATCCATTATTTTCTTCATGCTCGTCTGGCAACTTAGTGAATTTGGAATTGTTGATGAAGCTTTTGTTGCACTCTTTCTCTTTGTTGCCTTTATTCCTACAAATCAAATGAATGGTAATACTGAGTCATATTAACAACTTGCTAGCATCTCTAGGTTAAAAAGTTAAAAGATGATGATGACGAGTATTTTCTAAAAGCATGAACTTTTATTGTAAGATAAGGAATGGTTTATTGTCTATTAAGAATGTTCCTTATATAAGTAATCATTTATCAATATGGAAAACTTCAATAATAGGCAACACTCCAATTTGATTCTAAATTCTTATAATATCGTTTAATAATAACATATTATTATTTAAAAATTGTTAATTTTCATAATGATTTTTAAATGATTAGTCGTTTGATTCTTTTGCATCGACATTACATATTAAATTCACGTGACAAATATTGATTTAAAATTTAGTATTAGGTATTGTGTAATCCATGAGTTGACAAGTTTGCAACGCCTACAATCATCCCAATTAGAATGAATCTTACGTATGTATGTTTTATAATAATATTGACTCATTAAAAAATATATAATTTTATTAATACATATATAAGAAAACAATATTTTTTATCTTTATATTTTTTTCATAAATTATCTATAATCTTGTATTTTTCCAATTGGTTCACACGCTTTTCAAATTATGTGATTTTAAATAATTTTTTATACCTAAATCTAATATTTAATTTTAATTCAATTCATAATCTAATTTAATTCATATCATAGTTGACCTCAACCTAGTATCAGCAGTTAAGGTCAAATATTTATCACCTAAATTCGATTAATAACTACAATAATAATAATAATAATAATTTTTATATTTTTATAATAATTGAAATACTTTATTTAAATAAAGAATTAAAATTCAATAAATTTTAAATAGTTAATCTAAATAAATCATTCGTAAAATCAAACTATTTGATATAAAAATAATTCAAATTAATATATTTAATTTTCCAAAAAAAATACAAGATTCTCTGTTTAAAGACAAAGTATTAAGCGCAACGATACAAAAAAAAAAATGAACATGAAAATGGATTAGTGCTTCGCGAATTGGTGGCCAGAATCTAGAAATTCACCCAAATTGTAGCAAATATTTTCCAGTAACTTTTTCAAGCATACACAAAATTGTTTGAAACCCTCATTCAATATATGGAAATAAGTTTGAAATTTAGAATAAAAATTGTGTGTGCAGAAACATTTCTACAAAACTATTTTATGCTGATTTGCAACTAACATTTTGTTAAAATTATCAACCATATTAAATCTAAATTGATAAATAATTAAATTGTCATAATTTAAAAAATGATTTATTCTTCTTGTTTTCGTTTCGTTTTATTTTAATTTAATGATTATAATAATATATCATGTTAAGAAAAAAATACAAAATATTCTTTTAAAAGTTATTTTAAACTAATTTTTCATTCTTTTAAACAACAAGGAACAAAAATAATTTTAATCTAAAATATATAAAGTGTAATTAAAATCAGAGATGATATTTCATTGTATGAAACCATACAACTTTCCCAACACAAATAATTTAAAAATAAAATAGAGAGATTAGGTAGGACAAAGAGAAGTGGTGTCCGAATTTGGCCCATTGAGACTAAAACTTCATCAATGCGTGGCTTCCCTATCAAATAACACCACTTAATGACGTCACTTATCACATGGCTATGTTTATATATATAATTTACTTGAGTGGTGAGAAAAAGAGGTAACTTGCGTATGTGCTTACTTTGACCATGAAAAGCTTCTTCATGTCCCAAAGTCTATTCTTTCACGCTAACTGTAATTCACTGTACCAATCTAATGAAAGTGTGATGCAAAAGCGAAATTGCCAAACTATGAACAGATATGATAATGAAGATTAGTTTTTGAAGATATTAATGTTACAAATATCAACAATATAACGATGAAAAGTAGTTTCAGAGTGGCTAACAAAGAAAGAGTGGTGTTATGAAGTAAGCATATGATTTGGTGAGGAATGGATGAGAGGCAATGAGGGTGGTTTGTGTGGGACCATTTTGGGTGGATTCTGGTTTACACCTGAGACTGAAACCCGTCTCATAAATTCCAATCATGTTCAGTCTCCTCTTCTTCTCCTTGCAGGAAGGCTATGCTTCTGCTTCTGCTTATGCTTCTGCTTCTGCTGCTCATGCTAATTCAGAAACTCCCAAACCATGCCCATCAAATGCAGATCTGCTTTCTAACATTCACATCAAATGAGGTGAATCTAGAAATTTAAGTGGGGCACACAAAATATTGTGGTCATGAGATATGGAGAAAGGATGTGTAGCAGGACACCTGCACTCCCACTCTCATTCTCCACCCAACCAAGTGTTCATTGTGTTGTGGCCATTCAATGTCATCGTGCCTTTGTTGCCCTAATTGCTGGAGGTCAAACCCCTGTGTGGGACAGAGAGGTTAGAGGAAGTGGGTTTTTGGTTTCCTCACACCCCATTTCTTAAAAAGTTATTCAGATTTGAAAAGACAACACATTTTTTTCATACTTCATAAGAATTCATATTAGGAGTGATCAAATCTATGTTTTATTGGTGTATTATATTGTTATTCACACATTAGTTTATTATTAACTTAAGTCAATAATTACTTTTCATCTTTCGCTTTTCACCATAACTTGTACAAAGTGCTAAGGAGTTATATTATATGTGTGTCTATCTAGGCTCCTACCTCTAGATACTTTGCCGCTTCTACAACATTTTCTTCAATACTTTATTCATGATAGTGACACCATCTTCATTTTGCTTTGAAGAAAATAGAGAATTGAATATTAGGTTTACGTTTCATTCAGATTATAAAGCTCAATTGTACCCGATATGGAAAAAAAATGAGACGATGACACCAACATATATTTTCTTCGTTGGATAGTAAAAAAAGAAAGTACGAGAAAAAAAAAGAAATAGAGTTAAAAATAACATGAAAATAAATAAAGATGGTTATTTAATTAGAATTTAATATTTATATAATTATAAAAATATTTACTGATTATTTTTAAGTTGTTAGAATATTTATTAATGAGAGAGTAACTTTGTAAAATAATGTCTCTTTTACATTTTTTTCTTTACCACTTTTTTTAAATCAAATAAGGAAAATTATTTTTTTACATTAATATTTTTTATTCTACACTTTTCGTTCAAGAACTTTACTAAAAAATTATGTAATTATTACAAATAGTATCATGTAATAAAAAAAAGAATATATATATATATATATATATAATTTAAATATTTAAAATAGAGCATATTTATATATCATCTTCTAAAAAAAAGAGTATGTTAATTTATACTAATAAGCTTCCAATTTTGTTAGCATTACATCAAACTTAAGTGAATAATTCTTGAAAAATATAGAGAAACTGAATAATTTTTTAATTTTAATATAATGAATACATTTTTTTATTTAATAAGAATTGTTTTTATTGACTTGAAAAAATTTTGTGAAAAGCAAATTTGTTAGTAGTGCGAAATATTTTTCAATGAAAAGCACCAGATCTGTACAGCAATGAGCTTTCGTGATTTCCACCAAATTTCTCTTTCTTTTCTCTTTTTTATTCAATTTTCAACCAATTACAATCAAGCAACTTGTTTCAAATACAAATACTTGAGTTCGTAAGCAGTTGTTCTGTGCATTAAATCTGATTTTAAAACAAGTTCTGAAAAGCTATTGTCTTTTCATCAAATTAAAAATATGAGCCCTTTTTTTCATGATGTCCACCATGCCTTCTTTGTATTCACAATTCAAAACAAACCATTAAACAATTAAAAGGATATAAAAATTGCCGTCGTTTAATTCAGTGTTTGGTTTTATTGCGAAAAAAAAATTTCTCAAATTAAACATTATTATAATTAATTTTTAATATTTGTGTTCTGAATAAGAACCAGAGTGTTTCAATCTTATGGTTCTAATAAGACCATTAGATTTATTACTACGATCGATATATTATCCATTTTAGTACTCTAATCCGTCATGACTTTTTTTTTAAATATATCTCGGTGGATTAAAAGAGAAAAATATATATAAATTATCATTGATTCCTATGCAATGTGTGATTTATGAGTATATCAGAACATAACTTTATAGTTGAGGATTAAAGGGTAGGAGTGAAGCAAAATTCTATTTTGAACCCCACGAAGGGTGTCAATGTTTCATATAGGAAAGAGAATATTTCGGTCTCATGTCCATTGTGATAACATCATTATGATCAATTACTACGTCAGAGGTATTGTTTGCTTTGAAACTCTAATCCGTCATGATTTTATCATTAAAAGACACATTCATAGATTAAGAGAGGAAAGTGTATATAAATTACACATGACCTTAATTTTTAGAGCTGTCAAAATGAGCGGTCCTGCTCAGCCTAGTCTAGTCCTATGTTAGGCCAATCGGCTAAGAGACCAATATTGGTCTAATTAATTTTTTTTAAATATTAATATATTTATAAAGAAATCAATTAATTAAAAAATATTTAAATAAAAAATATTTTAAATTTTTAAATTTTATTAATAAAATTAGGTTTTATTTAAGATATAATTATTTAATATATATAAATTATAAGATAATGCATCTATTTAATCTCAGGATCAAAATAAAAAACTTACTCTTTATTATCATTATTTATTTTTAATAATTTATTAATTTAAAATAATAATTAATCTTAATCATTATATATTGGAACAAGTGATTATTAGATATTTATTCTTATATTTACTATTAAAACAAGTGAATATCTTTCAAATTAATTTATAATATATATATATATATATATAATAAAATAAAATTATTTTTATTTAAAAATATTTATTATTCTATAAAATAGGTCTCGTCATAAACTTATGGGTTAGCTTAGCTTAAGTCCATATAAATCATAACCTAAATAGGTCGGGTCAAAATAGATATAATTTAATTTAGGTCATAATTTTTTTTACCTACATATTTCTTAAGTTTTTTGGATTGACCTATTGGATTAAGTTATTTTGAAGATTTTATCTACACTCATAAATAATTTAATATTTAAATTTTAATCAATAAATTTTTATTTATAATTATTATTAATTATTGATAGTTTAAAATAGTAACTAATATAAAGACCTAAAAAATATTATTATTATAATATATTATACTTAAAAATAAAATTACATTAATTATAAATAAATAATATATATCTAACAAAAATATGTATCTTAATACATATAATTTTTATTAGAATAGAATTCAAAATATAAGATAAATTTGGGTATAACATTTATCTATTATCATCACATCCTAAACTACTTATGATATCTAGTAATCTTATATTCTCCTCTGCACCAGTATTTGTTTTCTTATCTAAGCTAAGTCAAAGTCATGCAAATTAGAAATACAAGATCAAATAAATTCATAAATACAACAAATGTTATTTCATACAGGAATTTATACATATAACTTTCACTTCATCACATTTATTATACTATTATAATTAGACATCTTCCACGTCTATTATAATTAGACATCTTTGAAAAAAAATTAGTGTTATATTTTAAACTTAACAACTAATATTTATAAATTATAATAAAACTAATATTATATTAAATACTCTTTGACTACAAACATCATTTTGGTTTTTTTTTTATGGACAAAGTATAACTACTGATAACTTTATTTGTCCTTACATCTATATAGATTTAGGGCAAGTCATCACCAATCCTCCCATTGGTCTTTACCACCTCACACTTTAGTCTATATAACTAAGATATATGCAGATGAAACTTGGGATCTCATGGAATTTTCACAAATATGAGTGTCAAACAATACACCGCAATAATCTTTCCAAAAACTATATGGAATAAAAATATTATTGATAATTTAATCACTTCTAGAGGATCAAATATGCTAACTTTAATATTGGTTTCTAACATAAAAACTCTAGTTATTCTTAAAAGACCAGTGATTATTTTTTATGTATCTCCTACCATTCATATCAACCCTTTACTCAATCTGCTTCCACCTATATAAAAAAAGTAATGATACTAATAAGGGAAGGAATAGTAGATAGATGAAACTCATCATTTCTCTATAAATAATAAGAAAATTTTGCATGTGAGGTAGAAAAAAATATTATATAAAATTATATATAAATAAATAAATATATGATCTAGTTATTAATTTAATTATATTATATTATATTTTATATATATATATATATATATATATATATATATATATATATATATATATATATATATATAAAGATGTTACATTAGAAATGCATAATTAGGTTATATTTGTGGTATAATGGGTTTTTAGTGCATGAATGTGATATGTTTAAGTTAATATATTTGGTATTATGGGTGATTGGTGTTAATACGAGTATAATCTTCTATATTTGATTTTTATTCCTCAATTTGTATGTTATATATTTGAGCAACATATCAAATCGTGAAAAAGGTGGCCTAAACAATGACAAGAGTGAAGAACCATTTGTTGGAGGTTTGCTTGAATGAGATTAGTGTTCAAGCAAATTGATCACCAAATAAAAAAGAGTTGGTATAAGTATTTCGCTCAAGTGATAAAATACTTCAATGAGATCCCTACAAAGGAGAAACATTTGATATGCTAAGGATGTCGCTCAAGTGAAAAGACTCGTAGAGGAGAAAAAGTTGTCATAATTTATAAAAGGAATTCATTTTGTTTATTATTTGCTCAAGCGATTTAAGGACACTCATATGATATATCTTTGTTGTATGGAATGGGATGTGTAAGAAGTGTAGGTTGAGACTTAACATGTTAATACATGTATGAGAGACAAGTGAAGTTGAGTCAAACTTGAGGTTGTGTTTAGAATTGATTGGTGCGAATGTGTGTTGTGAAGCTAAGTCGAACTTGAATTTGTGAAGCTAAGTCGAACTTGAAGTTGTTGGTTAGAATTGATTAAAATGTATATTTATTGTCTGGTGTAAGTCAATTTAGGACGGTAATGCAAAAATGACATAATTGTATTAGAGAGATATTGTGATGTATTAATATATCTAATCAATATATGATTTCCAATGGGAGAATTTGAATTCAAATAAATTAAAACAAAAGTGGAAGTGATTCATATTTGTTGGGACGAATTGAATATAAATTAGGTGTATATGGTTAATTAAATGTAAATTATAATGTTTCTAATATGTATTTTTTATAGATATTATATGTTATTTTATGAAAGATGGTGTAATTTTAATTTTTAAAACTGAATCATTGATAAGATTTACTTACTCTAAAAATAAGAATTAGAACTTCTTCTTTTTTGTAATTTGACGGTAAAGATAAATTATTAGATTACAACAAATAATTATAAAAAAATTAATTTTATTCTTAAAATAAATAAATAAATAAATATAATATAATATCTTTGAAACTTTGTATTCTCAAAACAAACTTATGTTTCCCATTATTTAGAGCCCCACTCTTTCCGAGTTTCCAATTTTTTCTTAAATACAACAACGTTTCTATGTTATTGAAAAAGACAACTATATTATTTAAGTATAAATGATATTAGTCGCAAATCGTGTTGGTATTGTCTCAATTATAACGTGGAACTTACAATGACAGTAGCAAGTCTAGGAGGATTCAAAACATAGCATTAAAAATATAGTTGATATTAGGATTAAAAAAAAAAAAGATAAAACAATAAGCTTATTGGAAACAAACAAGATTATTGGAGGTGGACCCAAGAACCGATTAGGGTTTGATTGCAAATAAAAGTTCATATGACTTTAGCTATGAAAGCATTTTTCATACGAATGCGACCCCAATTGAGCTAGGTGGGTCATGAGTGACTCAACTATCACATTACTTATTTCTTTCAAAAACTTGAAAGAAAATTATTACTATTTGACGTAGTGAGCATAATAAGAGTATTGTAGCTTCAAGTGCTTTGCTTAATGATTTTATATCTTTGAGTACCACCAATTACTTCTCTTTTTCTTCATAATTATGTTTAGATGTTGTGTCCCTCTTCTTCTAATAGCTCTTAGACTTGTGTCAAGTACCTCGTTTTAGCCTTATCCTTATGGTGAAAAGTGAACATGTTTTACCCAAGGAAATTAATTAATATGTATTAGTAAATTAATCAAGTTTAATTTCCATTTTTTGGAATTCAATCATAAGTTAATTCAAATAATTTATTTTTCTCTCCTCACGATTATTTATTTATATAACTCTCTCAATTACACTCAAAGTTGTATCGCATTATTAATTAATTAAGGAATTAGAATCCAAACGAGCCTTGAGCTACTAGTCTTTTTCATCGAGCTAGGTTTAAGAAGAATTAATGGTGGGTGTATTTATGCTAATTTTGAATTCTAGCTAGGTTTATTTAATATTTCTTTGGTCACTTTCAAAGGATCTTAGGTAAATTGGCTTGCTGCACAAACAAATCGCACAGGACACGAATCCAAGTAATTAAATTGAAGGGTGCTACTAATTAAACTCATGAGTATTTGCAAAATCCAATGCGTTGAGAAACATTTATTCTCTTTGTTGATAAAACAAATCACCATCGATTAAGTCACATGAATACTTTTATTCTCTTTCGTTCCATGGATTAAGGTGATAGATTAATGGATTATCCATTTTTAATTGAAAGGCAAAATAAGATTAATGTTCTAAATAAACATGTACGAGCGACATACATTGAATCATTAATAAAGTTCATCTTAAATTAAGGTTTGATTTTTATTTATAATGTTCTCTTGTTCACAAATAAATATTTTGTAGTTATCCAAAACAAGATTTGTCCTTTTGTTCAAAAAAACCTTGTCTTGTTCACTTGCTAAACAAATCAAGGTTGCAAAACTATAAAGCGTTGTTTTTATGCAAATCCTTTCTCTATGGAGTCATAATATAACTTACAAATTTTCATATGAAAGAGCTTGTAAATTACACTAACATCATTTGAATTTTGTTGGCGTTATACTTATATCTAAAAAAAAGGTTCTACATAATTTTTTATTTTAAAAATATTTTATTGTCTCTTGTGATATCATTAATATGAGAAAATCTCATTATAATTACTCAGGATTAAATTATTCCAATAGGTTCACCATTCATCTTTTAGTCACCTCTTTTTAATGATTGGTATATTGTATACTCAATAAAATTTCATCATGCTCATTAATCAACATGATTGCTCATTATAGTTGTAAGGAGATTTTTTTTTATGTTACAAAACAATTTCTTATTAATTCAAACAAAAATTGAATTTCATATATGTATAAAAGTTAACACAATATTTACTTTAAAATATATAAAAATGTGAAAAAAGTTTTTTTATAAAATAATATTGATGAAAGGTATATTAATAAATAACTATGTGTATACAAAATAATAATATGAATTATTTTATTATTATTATTATTTTAAATTAATATGTACAGATAATATAGATAACATGTAACTATAATTTCATGGGGTAAAATGATAAAATGCAGGTTCTGTATTAAATTTATTAATAGTGTAAAACTTGAAGAAATTGTCATCGTCATTGTCTTCTAAATTGTTGTGTTTGAAGAAATTTCATGTAAAATTGTTCCTATTAGCGATTTAGGAAAAACATAACAACATATTGTCGTCCAGATAGACAAATAAATAAGCAACAAGTATTTATTGTGGGAAGAAAAGTGATGATGGATTGAGGAGAGAAAAGAGGATAGAGTTTTGAAATGGGTGGGAAAGAATTGACCTAAATAGTGTTCCACCACCACAAATTTAAAGAATTGACCTAATACCCTCCACACCTGACGAATTTAAGCTACTTTCGAAATATGGATTTCCCGTCGTTTCCCAATAACATGATATCCAACTATAATCACCATCTTACCCAACACGCACGCATTATTTGTTAATTTGTAAACGAATTTGAGTGTGACACAAATACACGTAAAGTCTAATCAATAAAAACAATTAGTGTTAAGTTAAACCTAAAAGGTCGTCCCAAATTACCAATGAAGAAAAGACAAAAAAAAAAATGGTAACTAGTGGGATGTAAGAGTCAAAGGTCAACTAGATGGTGTCATTGTTAACCATTCAAATGCAGATATAGTGAGACAATCTACCTGTATTACCAATTCCCTTTGTCCCTTAACTTAGAAGAGAAAGTACTAGAAGGAAGATAATGAATGAATTGTTTTGCAATATGACTTTCCCAAAAATCATATTGAATTTCAATCTATTTGATTAGGCAGTTGCCAGCTTAGAGGAGACGCAAGATGACACATGGGAAATCAAATCCATTCCATTCAAAACACAATCATACCTCACTGTTCTCCTGCTACCTTGACTTGTACAGTTCCAATTCAAAATCAAGATCAAAATGCTACATACCTAGCTACCTATCAAATTCATTAATCATTCACCTACGCCAGGTAAACATGCAATCGTGTGCAACCGTGTATTGAGTTCGCAGACAGAGAGTGAAAAGACAAGTCAAATGTCAAATCGGGCCTCTTTGAAATAAATCATAAGACCGTCAGTGCCTGTGCTGTCAATCCATGCAATTTTTTCGTTCAATTTTCGTTTTCATTTTCATTTTCATTCTTAAATCATCTCCTAAATATTTCATTTTTATTTGCTTAACTTAACCAACCCTACAGAATTAATAATAGAATCTTTTTGGTGTAAGAAAGAATTGAGAATAATGGCATCACCCTAAACTGCTTCTCTGTCCACCTCCAATATAAAAACAAACATTATAATGAAAAGGAAGAATTAGTTAATAAACAGTTACAGTTAGACGTAAATGCGTGTCGGTATTAGGAACGATTCCCGATGACTCTTCATCTCCCAACTCGTTAATTAAACCCGTCCGACACGCTTTTTTAAGCCTCTTATCCTCCTCTCCGCTTACTAGGACGTCAAAACAAGTTTTAAATAATAATTAGATTAAAAATAATATTATGAATCTCGAAAATAAATTATTTATATGATTTTCTCAAACTTTTAACTCAATCAATGAAATCTATAATAAAATATTTATCTTTATTCTTAAATAAGTTTTATTAATTCCTTTTAGTGATGATCTTCCTTTATTGTTTTCTACACCAAATTTTATAAATATTTTTTCTTGCAAATTATATATTATTAATAGAAACACATGATATATTTTTTGTGTATTTTTATTTTAAATAAATTTTTATTTTTTTCATTCTTAAATATAATATTTTTTCATTAATTATTTATCATTTTTTATTATTTTGTAAATATATAAATTAAAATAATTATTTTTTTCTTTAAATTATGATACTTTATTTTTTTGGATGAAATAAAAAACGGATTATAAGAAAAAAATTCTATTATATTTTTAATGAAATAACAAACTCTTACTATATAATTTTAAGTAGATATTCATCTTCGTGATGCTTTTAATAAATAACATCATTATTTTTTGTGATTTAATAAAGTGCCGCTCACCTTTTTTTATAAAATATTCTTCAATTTTTATATATTTAAAAATTTTAAT